TTTTTAACTTTTTTTCTCAGTGTTTTAGTAGTCCTTCTCTGTTCCTTTCTCCTTCTATACAGAATTGATGGTCTCTTTAGTTTGACCTCTGACTGAAAGCTCTACTCTTTAACTCCCCTCCTCCCTCATTTTATGTTTTTGATATCATATCTAACCTCTTTTTTGTGCATTTGTATCCATTGCCCTCTTATCATGGAAATAGATAATTTTTCCTATTTGTGGTCTTCTCTTTTCCCCTTAAATCAGTCCCTTTAACATTTCTAAAATTTCCAATGATACCACCAGATTAGGACTTTAAAAATCTTTGCTCTCTAATTAGGCAAAGGTGAAAATGATGTACTCAGGACAGCTGTGTTGTTGACTCAGTGACTCCAGTGACAATGCAGGCACTGCTATCAAGGATGCATGTGAGAATGGAAAAGAACAGCAGCATTTCTAAATTAGCATATTTTAATAAATTTTGTATTACTCTTAGTAGGTATGTGAAAATAAAGTATTACCAATAGCACAAAAAGTATATTGCATATTAGTATACTAAGTTAACTGAAATTTATACTATGTAAGCATTATTGACTAAATTCTATTCTCGTAAAATAATTAGTTCTTGTTTCTGAAAGTGATTTTTATAGGATAGGAAAAAATAATATGCCAAGCACAATGTATCAAAATAAATATTTATTAACATTTGAAGCTTTATGTACACCTTTAGAAGCAAATGTGAGGAATTACAAAAATGAACCTAAAATCCTTTCCCCCAAAGTAAATATAAATGAACATTCAAGATCAGCAGTGCCATCACTATCAGAATAAAAAGTAAGTCTGTCTGAATGAATACAAGTAATTATTTTAAATGTCATTTAGATATTCTCCTTTACAGTTACAACTCCAAAAAGTACTAAGTGGCCACATGCGTCCAGAACACTGTGTTTTCACCTTACCCTAACTTATTAGTAGTGGTATATGAATATATTTCCATCTTTCTGTCCAGCCAGCAAATGAGAATCTGTACCTGACCATTTAACAAAAGACCAATTTTGATCAGAGAGAGGTGGAAGGAGAGCAGTGCAATGACCTAGAAGTAAGTCCCAAATGGCAATTGTTCCAGAAGTCAATACTGCTGCTGCAAAATTATCTTTCACGTCACCTTCCAGGAACCTAACATCAAGCAGAGAAGAGACAATTCAAATCACATATCAAAAAAAAAAAATTTTTTTTTTTTTGAGATCAGCCCTGTGCTAACATCTGCCAATCCTCCTCTTTTTTTGCTGAGGAAGACTGGCCCTGGGCTAACATCCGTGCCCATCTTCCTCCACT